CCTCCCCCCCACAATTTATTCTTATTTATTTATTTATTTATTAAATTTCTACCCCACCTTCCCGCTGAAATGGCTCAGTGCCTGATGGCAAGTGCTTGATGGCAAGGAGATCATGTCCACGTAATCCCCTTGCCCTTTTGATCTTTTTAAGAGGGGAAAATCTCCCAGCGTTGTCCCCTGCACCACCAGACAGTCACCCAGAGCACTTAGGGGAGAGGCCATGGCTCAGTGACAGAGCATCTGTTTGGCATGCAGGAGTTCTCGGATTCAATCCCTGACACCCCCAGCTAAGGATCAGGTAGCAGGTGATGTGAAAGGCTGCCTGAGATCCTGGAGAGCCCCTGCCAGCCAGAGTAGACAATACCGGCCCTGATGGACCAAGGGTCTGATTCAGTAGAAGGCAGCTTGATGTGTGTTTGGGGAGTGCCCGTGGCTCAGTGGAAGAGCCTCTGCCTGGTGAGCAGGAGGTCCCAGGTTCAGTCCCCGGCATCTCCAGTGAAAAGGACCAGACAGGAGGTGGTGGGAAAGACCTCTGCCTGAGACCCTGGAAAGCTGTAAAGAGGGGCTGTGGCTCAGTGGAAGAGCCTCTGCCTGGTGAGCAGGAGGTCCCAGGTTCAGTCCCCGGCATCTCCAGTTAAAAGGACCAGGCAGGAGGTGGTGGGAAAGACCTCAGCCTGAGACCCTGGAGAGCTGTAAAGAGGGGCCGTGGCTCAGTGGAAGAGCTTCTGCCTGGCAAGCAGGAGGTCCCAAGTTCAATCCCCGGCATCTCCAGTTGAAAAGGACCAGGCAGGAGGTGATGGGAAAGACCTCTGCCTGAGACCCTGGAGAGCTGCAAAGAAGGGCCGTGGCTCAGTGGAAGAGCCTCTGCCTGGCGTGCAGGAGGTCCCAGGTTCAATCCCCGGCATCTCCAGTTGAAAAGGACCAGGCAGGAGGTGGTGGGAAAGACCTCCGCCTGAGACCCTGGAGAGCTGCAAAGAGGGGCTGTGGCTCAGTGGAAGAGCCTCTGCCTGGCATGCAGGAGGTCCCAGGTTCAATCCCCGGCATCTCCAGTTGAAAAGGACCAGGCAGGAGGTGGTGGGAAAGACCTCGGCCTGAGACCCTGGAGAGCTGTAAAGAGGGGCTGTGGCTCAGTGGAAGAGCCTCTGCCTGGCATGCAGGAGGTCCCAGGTTCAATCCCCGGCATCTCCAGTTGAAAAGGACCAGGCAGGAGGTGGTGGGAAAGACCTCAGCCTGAGACCCTGGAGAGCTGTAAAGAGGGGCTGTGGCTCAGTGGAAGAGCCTCTGCCTGGCATGCAGGAGGTCCCAGGTTCAATCCCCATCCCAGGTTCAATCCCCGGCATCTCCAGTGAAAAGGACCAGGCAGGAAGTGATGGGAAAGACCTCGGCCTGAGACCCTGGAGAGCTGCAAAGAGGGGCTGTGGCTCAGTGGAAGAGTCTCTGCCTGGCATGCAGGAGGTCCCAGGTTCAATCCCCGGCATCTCCAGTTAAAAGGACCAGGTAGCAGCTGATGTGAAAGACCTCTGCCTGAGTCCATGGAGAGCTACTGCCAGTCTGAGTAGAGAGTGCTGACCTTGGTGGACCCAGGGTCTGATTCAGTAGAAGGCAGCTTCATATGTTCACCTGCATCACCAGTACAAGAACTGCCCAAAGTAGGGGCAGCAAGTAGCAACTCTTCTCCTACACCTTGCCAAGTGTATCGCCCACCTAGGTAAAGGTTTCCCTTGCTCAAAAGCCAGTCGAATCCGACTCTAGGGGGCGGTGCTCATCTCCGTTTCCAAGCCGAAGAGCCAGCGCTGTCCGAAGACGTTTCCGTGGTCATGTGGCCAGCATGACTAGACGCCAAGGCACACGGAACGCTGTTACCTTCCCACCGAAGCCGTATCTATTTATCTACTTCCAATTTCTTGCTTTCGAACTGCTAGGTTGGCAGGAGCTGGGGCCAGAGACGGGAGCTCACTCCGTCACGCGGCACACTCGGGTCTCGAACTGCCGACCTACCGACCGTCCGGTCTGCAGCTCACCGTCTTAACCTCGGAGCCACTGCGGCCCCTCTATCGCCCACCTAGATGCGTCTAAACCAGACTGACATCTACTAATTATTAAATCTGCTCACTGTGCTAGTGGGGGGGGGGGCGCTGAAGCTACCCAACAGCAGATTCCCCGCTGCTTCTAATGAATTACTTCTAGCTGTCATTAAAAGCAAGCCTGTGGCCGCCTAGATTTCAATGAAACCAATAGCAGAGCAGATAACTGGCAAGGGCTGGATGGACAAATCCCAAGCTCAGGACCAATAAGTCCTCTCATCCAACAGACCCACAAGGTAAGAGGAGGAGAAATCGCAGGTACCCACCAATGTTCCCTCTAAACTGTGGAGTCTTGTGAGCAAAAATTCTAGTGTGTGAGCTACTGGCATTGAAATTGGGAGCAAGCAATTTGGATACTGCATAAATTAGTTTGCTCTGGAGCCATCCTTCCTGAGCTGAGACTAAAATGTGTGAGCTGGAGGCTAAAAAGCTGTGAGCTAGCTCACACCAACTCAGCTTAGGGGGAACACTGGTACCCACAGTGAAGGAGGAGGAGGAGGAGGAGGAGGAGGAGGAGATTGGATTTATACCCCACCCTTCACTCAGAGTCTCAGAGAGCGGCTTACAAACTCCTTTCCCTTCCCCTCCCCACAACAGACACCCTGTGAGGTAGGTGGGGCCGAGAGAGCTCTTTCCAGAACTGTCCCTGAGAGAACAGCTCTGACGGAACCATGGCTTGCCCAAGGTCATCCAGCAGCTGCGAGTGGAGGAGTGGGGAATCAAGCCCAGTTCTCCCCGATTAGAGTCCGCGCGCTTCACCACAAACGGCACCGAGCTCAATGTTCAAAACCAAGCGCCTCGAAACACAGCATGCGCATTTACTTTGAGATCAAGTTTACACATTAGCTCATGCAGCGGGCCGGCAGCAGAGGAGCGCATTTGCTTTGGGGGGCTTAACTTAAAGCCAGGGGAAAATCTGTAAGCCATCTGTAAGCGGGAATCATAAACCCCCCTCCGGTTTACGGCTAACCGGTGGTCCCAACCTGGGCTCAGCTGGCTTCGGCAGGCATCGCCTCTGGCACCAGAAGTCCAGATCACAGTGTGCTGGAACTACCGAAACTCCTGCCCCTCAACAACTGGCATTCGTTTCAAGGGGGTTTCCGCGGATCAGAGGCCACGTAGGAGCAGCCCTTGACAGACCGGGCCCAACAGCTTTACACGGCGCACACGTATCTTGGGATTTAACTGCTAGCTGCCAAGCAGAGCCCAGGAGATAGTTCAGAGATGGGAGAAACGATTCATACGGGGCGTGTTCTGTGCACCTTAAAGACCTAGTTGATCACAAGCGAAACATGAGCCTGCAGTGTGATGTGACAGCAAAGAAAGATAATGCATTCTTGGGATGCATTCACAGAAGCCTTGTGTCCAGATCAAGGGAGGTGGTCGTTCCGCACTGTTCTGCTATGGTCAGGCCTCACCTGGAGTCCTGTGTCCAGTTTTGGGCACCACGTTGTAGGAAGGATGTTGACAAGCTCGAGCGTGTCCAGAAGAGGACAACCAGGATGGTGAGAGGGTCGGAATCCAAGTCTTATGAGGAAAGGCTGAAAGAGTTGGGTATGTTTAGCCTGGGAAAGAGAAGGCTTAGAGGGGACAGGATTGCAGTCTTCAAGGATGCATTAACAGAAGCCTTGTGTCCAGATCACGGGAGGTGGTAGTTCCACTCCATTCTGCTATGGTCAGGCCTCACCTGGAGTCCTGTGTCCAGTTCTGGGCACCACATTGTAGGAAGGATGTCGACAAGCTCAAGCGTGTCCAGAAGAGGGCAACCAGGATGGCGAGAGGGTTGGAATCCAAGTCTTAGGAGGAAAGGCTGAAAGAGTTGGGTCTGTTTCGCCAGGGAAAGAGAAGGCTTAGAGGGGACATGACTGCAGTCTTCAAGTATTTGAAGGGCTGTCATGTAGAAGATGGAGCAGATCTAGTCTCTCTTGCTCCGGACTGCAAGACTAGATCTGATGGGTGGAAATGACAAGGGAGTCGTTACCGGCTAAATATCAGGAGAAACTTCCTAACTGTCAGAGTGGTTGAGCAGTGGAACAGTCTGCCTCGGGAGGTGGTGGATGCTCCTTCGCTGGACATTTTCAAGCATGTCAAGCTGGACAACCATCTTTCGGGTATGTCGTAGGGCTATCTTTCGGCTATTCTCCTGCAGAGTGCAGGGGGTTGGACTAGATGACCTGCAAGGTCCCTTCCAACTCTAACATTCTATGGTTCTATGATTTTCCGGGCTACAGGCCTTTGTGAGTCAATGCTCACTCTGCCAGATACAAAGGAGAATGAAGGTCCATCGGCCTTTATATCCAGGCCAGAAGGTGGGAAGTCCCTCTTACGTTCCACCTGGGATATAAGGGCTGATGGAACTCCACTTTAGTTGTTGTAGATTTTCCGGGCTGTATGGCTGTGGTCTTGGCATTGTAGGACCTGACATTTCGCCAGCAGCTGTGACTGGCATCCTCAGAGGTATCACACAGAAAGATGGAGGACTCTCTGTGTCCAGGTGAGAAGAAGGAAAATGGTAGGCAGGCAATTTATATCTACTCAGGAAAGTGGGGTAGGGCTGAGTCATCATCTTGTAGGAGGAGCTTTCCTGAGGAGGTTCTTTTGCATATGGATCGGCTGTTGAAATTCTAATCTTATCTGTAGCGCTACTGTAAGATGTAGAGCCTTTTGTGTTTTCCAGGACAGGAAACCATGCCCGGAAAATCTACAACTCATGAACTCCGGCCGTGAAAGCCTTCGACAACATTTTGAACTCCACTTCGTCTGTATATGACAAGGTGAATGCTGCTTCACGAAAGCTTATACTCTGGAAGATTTTGTTGGTCTTTAAGGTGACACTGCACTCAAATTTTGTTCTATTTGTGCAGACTCACATGACTACCCCCAGTCGAAACTGTTCAGGAATTAGACGTTACTTACTGGAGATGGAATGAAGGCCTCGTGGTACTTCTTGGGGTTTATTCTCAAGGGTCCCTTTAAAAAAGAAAGAAAGATAAGAACGGCAGTTAGGGATGGGGGGGAAATAACTTTTTTTAATGCAATTCCGATAAAAGCAATAGCAACAATTTGCCGGGGTTCACTTATTGGGCCAATACTCCCGCAACCCTTCCCACCAGGACAGAGGCAATACCCTTGCTCAGATCCTGGGGAAACAATGAATAATGAAAAACACTGCAACATTATACTACCCAGGACCATAAATCAAAAGTGGCACGGGGCCTGCCCGTTCTGACAGCCAGCATTCCTTGGTGAATAATGCACCATGCTCACAGCAGAGGTGGGGATTTCTTCTCGGCAGAGCTAGGAGCCCAAGAGCGGCTTCCTTAGATGCAAACGAGGATTGGCTTCAAGTGAGGAACGCAACAGTCGTCTCAAGACAGCGGAGGCCGAGCCTGCCAAGAACCACTTCGGGCCCCTGTGAGCCTAGCCCCCCCGCCCCCGGCTCATCAAACTACCCAAAACCAGCCTGAAAAGAAGGAGGAGGAGGAGAAGGAGGAGGAGGAGGAGACTGGATTTATACCCCGCCCTTCATTAACCCAAAGGAGTCTCAGAGCGGCTTACAAACGTCTTTATTTTATTTATTTTTATTTCATTATATTTATACCCCGCCCTCCTCGCGAGCGGGCTCAGGGCGGCTTACAACAAGACACAAAGTGCGTACAGTATAAAAAGATAAAACAGTTAAAACTCAGTACAATCAGGATGCAAGAATAGAAAGATCCGAAACATCTTGCATACCAGAAGGGGGAGGGCCAGGGCTGTAGATAGAAGTTGCTCGGCCCTCCAGCGGTGTCGCTCTATAGTGGAGCGGTGGTGGTGGTGGCATTGGCGGCTCCTACTCGAAAGCCTGGCGGAAGAGCTCCGTCTTACAGGCCCTGCGGAACTGCAAAAGGTCCCGCAGGGCCCTGATCTCCTCCGAGAGCTCATTCCACCAGGCCGGGGCCGCCACTGAAAAGGACCTGGCCCTTGTTGCCACAAGCCTGCCCTCCTTAGGCCTCCGACAGAACTATGGCCTGCCCAAGGTCATCCAGCAGCTCAAGTGGAGGAGTGGGGAATCAAACCCAGGTTTTCCCAGATTAGAGTCCAACCAATATATTCATTATTGGCTATTATCCCCAGTTTAATCTTTTTGATTTTTTTGTATCTTGTTGATATAAATTTGTTTTCTCTTTAGATCACCTGTAATTGTATAATAAAAATAAAATACATCTGGAACCTTCACCACTGAATGTAGGTTTTGCCCCAGCTGTTCTTAGTGTTAAAAGGCCAGGGGAAAGCTTTTAATCTGAGATGGTAAGAGTAAAAAATGTACTTTGCTGTTTTGCTTCTTTGGGCTTTTGTGTGAGCTTGGTTCTGGTCTGTGATACACTTTGCACTGCTATTATTTTTCTGACTGCTACGGTGTCTATTGTCTCTTTGCATCGGATCACACGACTTGTGTGTGCTTCTTTTTTCTTTAATCAAAAGCCACTCTGAGAATGCTACTGAAAAGATATAATTTAAAAGAAAAATAACATTTCAGTTAACACCAATATTTTTCAGCCTTCTTAAATCCTGCCATTAAAGAGAACGTTTGCCATTAATGTTGGAAAAAGACAGGTTGCTTACCTGTAACTGGTGATCTTCGAGTGGTCATCTGTGCATTCACACCCTTGGGGATACTCTGCGCCTGCGCTGACCTTCTCGGTACCGATAGCTAGCAAAAGGGATTTTCGCGCCTCTCCCAGGTCACGCGCCGGCTCCACTGCGCATGACCAAGGAGGGGCACGCAGATCCCGCCAGTTCCTTCTGACCGCCGCCCAACAGCCTTCAAAGAAACAAGATGAAGGGCCGAGAGCAGAGGGGAAGGAGGGCGGGTGGTGTGAATGCACAGATGACCACTCGAAGATCACCAGTTACAGGTAAGCAACCTGTCTATCTTCTTCGTGGTCTCTGTGCATCACACCCTTGGGAGAATAGCAAGCAATAACTCTTACCTGGAGGAGGGGCCGAGGCCCTACACCTGCGCCGTCTGCAAGATAGACCGACCCAACGCCACACGACGAGTAGACCGGACATCAAGGGCATAATGCTTCACGAAGGTGAGCGGAGTAGCCCAAGTCGCAGCGTTGCAGATGTCCTCCAATGGCATCCCTCTCAGGAAAGCTGTGGAAGCCGCCACCGCCCTTGTAGAGTGGGCGCGAAGTTGACCTGGAAGAGGTCTCTTAGCCAAAGCGTAACATAGCTTGATTACTTCCACAATCCACCTGGACAGCGTCTGGGAAGAGATCTTCTTCCCTAGGGAGGGCATACTGTGAGCAACAAACAAGGCTGGAGACTGACGAAAAGACTTGGTCCTGCCCAAATAGAACAGCAACGCCCTCTTAACATCCAGAGAGTGCAATTTCCGTTCCTCTTCATTGGCAGGAGACGGGAAAAATGACGGCAAAACTATATCTGAACGTAGATGAAACTCCGAAACGACTTTCGGTAAGAAGGAGATGTCCAAAGACAACGACACCCCATGAGGGGAAAAAATCAAGTATGGTGGATCACACCTTAAAGCAGACAACTCACTGACTCGACGAGCAGAAGTAATGGCCACCAGAAACGCAGTCTTGAGCGATAACAACTTTAGAGAGCAAGTGGCCAGTGGTTCGAAGGGTTTTCCCATCAAAAACCGCAAAACTAAAGCCAAATCCCAGGCCGGAGTCGGAGAACGACGGGGAGGGTACAGGCGAATAAGACCTTTACAAAACTGTTTCGTCTGAGGATGCGAGAAAACTGAAAACCCATCAATAGATGGATGAAAAGCTGACACCGCAGCTAAATACACCTTAACTGAAGAAAAACTGAGTCCCAAGTCCATTCTGGACAAAATAAACGCAAAAATAGACCTCAAATCCACTGGCGGAGGAGGTAAATTGGAAGAACTCAAGTACTGTAGGAATAAATCCCACTTCTTTGCGTAAGACGTCCTAGTAGACAGTTTACGACAATTCAACAGGACCTCATTGATACGGTCATCCATCACTGAAAGCGTATTTCCCATAGAGTCAACTTGAGACTCAGAGGATCGTAGTGAAGGACCTGGCCTTCCTGAGCTTGGAGGAGATCCAACTCCTGCGGGAAGTGTACGAAGGATCCCTTGGCTAACCGCAGCAGTGTCGGAAACCACACCTGCCGAGGCCACCAGGGGGCTACCAGGAGACAATGGGGCTTGTCCTGTTGTATTTTCACAAGCACCCTGTGGAGCAGCGGAATCGGAGGAAATAGGTATAGAAAGTCGTGAGCCCACGACATCAACAGACCGTCCCCCATTGACAGAGGGTCCAACCCCGCTCTGGAGCAAAACCTGGGACACTTCTTGTTCAATCGAGTTGCAAAAACATCGATGTGGGGATGTCCCAGATGTTGAAAAAGAGGAAGGAGATACTTTGAGTTCAACTCCCATTCGTGGTCCGATGCTCCCCCTCTGCTCAGGAAATCCGCTTGTTGGTTCAAAGTTCCTGGCAGATGGGCAGCTTGGAGAGTGATGTTCCAATGAAGGCACTCTTCCCATATGTCCATAGCTAGCCTGCAAAGGGACCTGGACACGGTCCCGCCCTGGCGATTGATATAAGCCATCGCAGTTGTGTTGTCCGTAAAAATCAACACAGCTTTTCCTACAACCTGTCTGAGTAAGGATCTGAGGGCAAATTTTACGGCCAGCAGTTCCAGATAGTTGATATGATGACTCTTCCAAAGGGGTTGCCATGGAGCACCCACACAAGTGTCGTCTGTATGAGCACCCCAACCCCACAGGGAGGCATCTGTGGTGATGGACATTACGGGAACGATCGGTTGGAACGGTGCACCCGCCAACAGATTGGTGTCCACGAGCCACCACTGCAGGGAGACGAGGACCTGCGGAGGCACTACCAGTTGAAGGCTCGGAGGATGGATGGAAGGGCGAAATTTCTTTAGAAACCACAGCTGCAACGGGCGCATGCGAAGGCGTGCATATTCGATCACGGAAGTGGTGGCTGCCATGAGACCCAAGATCCGCTGAATGTGGACCGCTGATGTCACGTTGGACTGGAACAAACGTTGAATTTCCAGACGAATGGTATCTGCCCGTTGGCGAGGAAGGTACGCCCGAGTGGCTAGGGAGTCTATGACAGCTCCTATGAACTGCACGCGAGTTGCAGGTTGCAGCATGGATTTCTGTAAATTCACCAGAATTCCAAGGGAGGATAGGACCGACAATGTGATGGTGATGTGCTGAAGGAGACATTCTCTTGAATCTGCCACCATCAACCAGTCGTCTATATACGGAAAGATCTGAATGCCCTGAAGGCGAAGATGAGCGACGACAACCACCATTACCTTCGTAAAAACCCTGGGGGCGGTAGAGAGCCCGAATGGAAGGGCTTTGAATTGGTAATGGTCCTCCCCGACTGCGAATCTGAGGAACTTTCTGTGACGAGGATGGATGGAGACGTGAAAATAAGCGTCTTTGAGATCTAAAGTGACCATCCAAGTCCCTGGAGACAGGAGTGGTAAAATGCTTTGCAACGTGGTCATGCGAAACTTTCTGTAAATGATGAACCGATTGAGAAAACGAAGGTCCATGATTGGACGAAGTCCTCCGTCCTTCTTGGGGACCGTGAAATATTTGGAATAAATCCCGCGGCAACAATCCGCCATCGGGACTTTCTCTATAGCGTTTTTTTGTGTCAGCGATTGTACCTCCTGTAGCAGGGCAGGAGACGCCGGGGTTCTGATAAAACGGGAGATTTTGGGAGTCAGAGAAAACTCTATGAGATAGCCATCTCTTATTATAGAGTGCACCCATTTGTCCGTAGAAATGGCGAGCCATGCGTGCAGGAAGGGTGCAAGGCGAGTCTGAGCAGTAAGGTTGAAGTCAAAGTCCCTGTTTGGGATTCTTAGGGAATTTCGACTTATAGGCACCGGACGATTGTCCCTTATTTTTCGGGGGAAAAGACCGTGAC